GGGCTGGCTGGCATGTGGTGCTGGGGGATTGAACCGTGGTCCTTGTGCTTTGCTTAGATTAGCTTGTTCTAAGTAGGTGCTTTAGACCACTGAGCCATCTCACCAGCCCCATCACTGTGTCTTTAAGTAGAGAAGGCTGATCCCATTCCAAAATTCAGTTCATTTGATTCTTTTTTATCCAGAGTTATTCACTGCCTTTTAAGAAAAATGTTTACTGCTTTCTCATTGTTGTAGCAGAAATGAAGGTTTTCTGTGGTCTTTCACATTCTTTATTTTTTTATGTTTTTCATAAAGGGTCTCACTATGCAGCTCAGACTCATAGTGATCCTCTTGGGCTGACCAAATAGCTTAGAGGATTAAAACGCCTGCAAACAGGCGCAGGGGCCAGGGGTTCGATCTCCAGGCCTGCCATACTGGCCCTGCCACAGGGGCGTGCTGAGACAGCAATTGAGACTGGGTGTGGTGGTGCACCCTGTAATCTGAGCTCTTGTGAGACTGTGAACAGGTAGATCACTACTAGTCGTGAGACCCTAAACACCCTGTAGACCCTTCCCTAAAATACAAAAACAAAACAAAACATAGTAATCCTCTTGTTTTCAGCACCCTCAGTGCTGGGATTACAGGCATATAGCAACACTTGTAGTCTTTGTGGCAGGCTTAGTGTGCCTAGGGGTGGGGCCAGCATGGCCAGGGATGGAACCCCAGTCCCTGTACTTGCCTAAGCAGGCACTTAGTCTGCTGAGTTATCTTGCTGGCTCTCTCGGTCTTTCACATTCTAACTAGATATGGAGATCCTCCACTGAAACATATTTGAGTATGATCAAGAACACAAGAGTAAACTGAGTAGCTATTAAATAATCTAGGCACTTTTGTATCACCTTCATTAATCTTTTGTTCCTAAAATAGCTGTATTAATGTTACTTTCCTATTAAGGTAAACAGTGATCTAACCACATGAATCTTTACTGTTCAGGAACATGTAACAGCACATTCATGTGATGGCTGCTTGTTTATATTTGAGCTTGTTGTATACAAACACAGACTTTGAATTAGTAAGCAGTTAAAAATACACTAATAATGATCAACTGGTATTGGAAATAAATTAAATTGGACTAACAGAAAATAGAGATTTGTGTGGTTGTGTCATTGTTTACCTTAAAAGGAAATTGACATTGATATAGTTATTTTAGAAAGAAAACATTAATGGAAGTAATAGGTATAAAAGTGCTTAGATTATTTAGTACCTGATCAGTTTACCCTTCTTTGTGTCCTGGTCTCATTGAGTTTTCACTTCCCAACTGGCTTTTTGATGTCTTCAGCTGGATTTTTAAAAACATTTTTTGGGGGGGCCAGGGAGATGGCTCAGTGGAATAAACGCTTCCCTGGAAAGCACAAGGGCCTGAGTTCAATCCCTGGTTGGGGTGGGGTAGGGCAGAAGCAAACAAAACATTTTTGGCGATGCACAGTGGCATATACTTGTAATCCCGGTTGGTATTCGTGGACACCAAGAAAGGAGGATCAGAAGAAGTTCAAGTACTGCGTGGGAGACTTCGCTGGTATTCTGTCTCAAAATAAAAAGGGGTAAGGGGACAATGCTTGGTTAGTAGAACACCTTGCTTTTTTTTTTTTTTTTTTTTTTTTTTTTGAGACAGAGTCTTTGTAGTCCCAGGCTGGCCTTAAACTTACTATGTACCTCAGACTGGCTTTGAACTTGCATTGATCCTCCTTCCTTAGCCTCCTAAAGTGCTGAGATTCTAGGTGTGCTCTGCTATGCTCAGCAGCGCCTTGGCTTTGATCTCCAGTATTACAAACAAAACAAAAAACTTTAGAGTGTAACTTTTCTACTTGTAAATTTAGGGTTATTTTGCTGTGAACACTCTTAGAAGTTGCTAAGAAGGGGAAAATTGGCTGTTGTACTGTTTTTTAAACAAAATCATATACTGTGTTGATCATACACAATTTCCTTCAACTACCTTTCCATTTATTTATATTTGGAGGGGTATAGGGAATTGAACTCAGGACCTTGTGCTTGCCAGGCAAGGCCCTGTGCCACTAAACTATATCCCCGGCCCTTTTCCCTTTATTTTAGAAGAATCAGTGGCAAATTTCATGAGTTTTTCTGTTTTAAAGTTGAAAAATCATCTGGCAACATCATTATGACTATAGTAAAAAATACTATATACTTTAACGTATTTCAGATGTTATGTTTTAAAGTATGTGAATATTATCTCAAAACAAAAGAAAAATTAGGTGACAGGGTTTTTGTTTTTTTTTTTTTGTGGCAGAACCAGGGATTGAGCTCAGGCCCTTGCGCTTGCCAGGGAAACGCTTATTCTACTGAGCCATCTCCCCAGACCCCAGTTTGAGTTTTCTATCTTAGTTTATTAGAATTCCTAGTTGTAATGGATATGTTTTTGCATTATTGTCAGTTGCTGTATTAGAGTTGATTTGAAAAATACTTAAATGAGTATTACGGGGCTGGGGAGATGGCTCAGTGGCATAAGCGCTTCCCTGGCAAGCGCAAGGGCCTGAGTTCAATCCCCAGTGCTGCCAAAAAAAAAAAAGAGAGAGAGAAAAGAAATGAGCATTACATATTATGCAGTTTGATTAAATGATAAGAAATTTTAGTCCTTTTTTCATGAAAAATTGAAAAAATGTAAAATGCTGATTAACTGCTTTTTAGAATCTTTTTAGATTATACTGAGCATTTTGAGGAATGACTCATAAAATCTTACATGTTGCTTAGTTTCAGACAATACTTTCTTTCTTTGAGTCATGTTTATATAAAGTCTGTATTTTTTATTTTTTTCTTAACCTCTCTTATCTCTCCAGTCTTGTTGCCAACAGTTTTGAAGATGGCTCCCATATAGCCTCATTAGAAGCAAATGAAAACTTCAATGTTGTCATTAAAGAGGAACCTCTAGATGATTATGACTATGAACTTGGCGAGTATCCAGAAGGGGTTACCGTGAAACAGGAAGAGACAGATGAAGAAACGGATGTGTACTCCAACAGTGATGATGATCCTATATTAGAGAAACAACTAAAAAGGCACAATAAAATTGATAACCCAGAGACTGATCATTCATCTTCTAAGTGGCTACCAAGCAGCCCATCTGGTGTTGCTAAAGCTAAAATGTTCAAATTAGATGCTGGAAAGATGCCAGTAGTCTATTTAGAGCCTTGTGCTGTCACCAAAAGCACAGTGAAGGTTTCTGAATTGCCTGATAATATGCTTTCCACATCTCGAAAGGATAAATCGTCTGTGTTGACAGAATTAGACTATTTGCCTATGGACATTGAAAATGCCAGTGGTACTGGCTTCTGTTTAGGCAAGGAATCAGAAAATGGTCTTAGTGAGTACTCACCTGATCTCAGAGAGATACAAAAATATCCTTCACTTAAAGAGCCTCAATGGAAATATCCTGATGTATTTGACAGCATTAACTCAGAAAGAATACTTGACAGTTCAAAGAGTTCTGCTGGGGACTCATTTTCAGGAAAAGAGGATTTGGGTAGAAAGCGAACAACTGTGCTTAAGATTGCAGCAGCCTCAAAGACTATGAGTGCTAATCACAATGCCTCACCAAATGTTCATGGAAAAAGAGGAAGGCCTCGAAAATTAAAACTCTCTAAGGCAGGGCGACCACCTAAGAACACAGGAAAGTCTTTAGCTTCTACAAAGAACAACCCTGTAGGCCTTGGAAATGCCTTTTCTGATGTGAAGCCCGATTTGGAAGATGTGGACGGTGTTCTTTTTGTTTCCTTTGAGTCAAAGGTCAGATTGTAATTTTCAGCATTCTTTTTAGGCTCATTAGTTATTCTTGAATTGCATATAGGCTGATGATTAGGATCTAGTTTTGTGAGTGTATTAATTGGTGAGGGTATGTTTGGGGAGGATTGTGAGAGATATTGTTATAATGTTTGGTTTAGTTGATAGGCATCACTATAAGTACTTTGAATAGATTTTTTTTGGGTACTGGGGATTGAACTTAAGACCTTGCATTTGCCAGGCAGGTATTTAAGCTGCTGAGCTATCCCTCTGGCCCTGGAGAGATTTTTATTTATTTTTATTTTTTATGTATTCAGTACAGGGTCTACAGGGTCACACTATGTAGATCAGACTCATAGTGATTCTCCTGTTTTCAGTCTCCCAAGTGCTGGGATTACAGGCGCCTGCTACCATGCTCAGTCTCAGTCTCAGTCGCTCAGTCTCATTTGCAGTTGTGCAGTTGCTCAGTCGCAGTTGCAGCCACAGCCGCAGTTGCAGCATGCCCTGGGGATGGGGCCTGCCCGGCATGCAGGGGATTGAACCCCTGCTGCTGCACTCTGCCTAAGCAGGCACTTTAGTCTGCTGAGCTCACTGGCTGGCACTTAACATTTTTAAAATGTGTCATTTTAGATCTGTTTGTGATTTTTTCAGTGTGCAAAGCTAATTTTTTTTTTTTTTTAGGGAAGGGTCTACAGGTTGTTGAGGGTCTCACAACTAGATCAGACTCATAGTGATCCCAGACTCGTAGTGATCTGGCTGTTTACAGTGTCCCAAGAACTGGGATTATTGGCTGGCATCACCACTCCCAGTCTCAATTGCCACCCAGTCTCAGTGCGCGCCTGGGACTGGTCAGCACAGCAGGCCTGGGGATCCCCAGCCCTTATGCCTGCTTGTAGGCGTTTTAATCCACTGAGCTATTTGACCAGCCTTCCAATTTTGTTTTTAAACTTTAGTTCTTACTGGAATTTTTATCATTATATACTTTCAAAAGGCATAGAAAAACATGAAAAGTTCACTTTTCATATACCCTATCCTCCCCGTCTCTTGGTTGTTAGTTAGTAGAGTACTGTTGGAAAACAAAATAAAAGTTTTATTGGGGCCAGCGAGATACCTCAGTGGAATATGCGCCTCCCTCGCAAGTGCAAGGGCCTGAGTTCAATCCCTGGTTCCATCAAAAGAAAAAAAAAAGTTTTATTAACTCTGCTGTGTTGCACACTGATAATTTCTATCTTACTCTACGAATAGCTGTTTTTTAGACTTGTGTAGCAATATAGTCTTTCCAAGTTGGCTAAACAGATGCTTACCTTTTGTTTACTTCCTTCCTTTTAGCTCCCAAGTAACCTTCTGTCTATATAGGCTCTGAGAAAGCAGCATACAAATTGGTATAAATACAGTTTCAAGTTTGGCTGAGTATAAATAACACTCAGATCCCCCCCCCCAAAAAAAATCCCTTTCTGTCCTGGAGGTCAAACCCAGTGCATCAAACGTGCTAGACAAGCACTCTTACCACTGAACTACACCCACAGCCCCTGATGTTAATGTAGAACATTTAGAAAATATATAAAAAATAATAATTTTTCCTGTTCTGTGCAAACATGATTGTATATTTCTCTTGGTCTTTTCTTTTTAAATCCTGATTTACTTAAAAAGTTTATAATTATAATTATCTGTGTTATATTTTTATTTTTAATATATAGGAAGCTCTAGATATTCACGCAGTTGATGGAACAACAGAAGAACCCTCTAGTCTTCAGGCATCAACCACAAATGGCCCAGGTATTACATGATACATATTTCTGATTTAGACTATAGTAGTGGAATATACCACATCTATTCTTCTGTATTATACAGTATTTTGTTATGCCATTATTTTGTAAACAGGTTGCAGAGTAAGAATTTCTCAGTTGGAAAAGGAATTGATAGAAGATTTGAAGTCCTTGCGGCACAAGCAGGTGATACATCCAGGTCTTCAAGAAGGTAATATTCTTTAAAACATACCTCATTTTTTATTTTTTATTCTCTTTTCGTTCTCTCTCCCTTCTTCCTTGGTCTCCCCCCCCCCTTGGTTCTTTTATTTTCTGTATTTTTCTTCGAACCTTGGTTTTGTCTCTGTTAAGCACCTCTCAGTTTGCATTTTTTGTTTCTTGTTTATTTTTTTTGTGCAGAACCAAGGATTGAACTCAGCCCCTTGCGTTTACCAGGCAAGCGCATATTCTACTGAGCTGTCTCCCTGGCTCCACATTTTTTATCTCCACAGATCTTCCCTTTAAAATAAAACCATCTGGATCTTCTTTAATCTCTCCCCTCCCCTCCCTCCCCTTCCCTCTCCCTCCCCTTCCCTCTCCTTCCCTTCCCTAGCTTCCCTTCCCCTTCCCTGACCTTCCCTCTTCCTTCCCCCTCTCCCCCTCCCCTCCCCTCCCTTCCCTTCCCGACCTTTCCTCCCCTCACCTTCCCCACCTTTCCTTCCCGACTTTCCTGACCTTCCCTTCCCGAGCCTCCCTTCCTTTCCCTTCCTGACCTTCCCGACCTTGCCCTTGTCAGGCTGGTGCTGTGCTGCTCAGCTGTATCCCTGGCCCATCTTCTTTATCCCAATAGCTTATATATAGGGAAAAAATGTATGAACTAAGAAGGTGATTATTTCTGTATTCATTCGTGTAGCTTGGTATCGTTTGTGTAGCATGGTATCCCTATCACTCATCTTATTACTTTTGGTTGCTTTTGTGTATGTGTTTTTCTTTGGAGGGATGGGTCCTACTTGTCATTTTGTACCTAGTAATATATTTAGGTGTTGTATAAACAGAAGAAGCCAGGCTCCGTGGCACATGCCTGTAGCCCAAGCACTTGAGGCTGGGGCAGGAGAGTCAAGAGTTTCAGGCTAGCCTGGGCTACATAGTGAGACCCTGTGTGAAAGAAAAGTACAAGCAAACTACATAACACATGCACATCTGTAATCCCAGCACTGGGGAGGCTGAAAATGGGAGGATCACTGCAAGTCGAAGCTGCATAGTGAGACCCTGCACCAAATACATGAAAAAAACAAAACGAAACAAAAACTACATAACACAAAACAAAACATGTCTTTTCTCTCTTGTATTGAAGCAAACATTTTATATATTTGATATACTGATGGGGATTTAAGATTTTAATTAGTTCTTTTTTTGGGTAATGGATTACTTTGACTTTGATTACTTTCTTTTTTAAAAAAATGATGGGGCTCAGGAGATAGCTCAGTGGCATAAGCACCTGCCTTGGCAAGCACAAGGTCCTGACTTCACTCCCACAGTACCGCAAAAAAAGAAAAAAAAAGATAATGAAATTTGTAGTTCTATTTTTTTCTTCTGTTTGCATCATAATAACAGGTTGTAAATGCCAGCCAAATAGCTCAGGGAATTAAAGCGCCTGAAAGCAGGCATAGGCGCCAGGGTTTCAATCCCCAGGCCTGCCATGCTCCCACTACACCCCCTTCGTGCTAAGACAGCAATTGAGACTGGGTGTGGTGGCTCACCCCTGTAATCCCAGCTCTTGGGAGGCTGTAAACATGCAGGTCATTACAAGTCTGATCTAGTGATGAGAACCTGAACAGACCCTTTCCTAAAAATACAAAAAATTAAAAAAAAAAAGAGGTTGTAGACCATCCCCCAATTTTTAGTATATTACATCTTTGATTCTAAATTTGCTTCTTGAGAATTATTGGGTTTTGGCTCAGTTTTCTTTTTCGAGGCTGTTTAGAATTACATAGACTATAATTACATAGTAGATCACTTAGCTGAGAATATAAACATGAGAAACTAAAACAAAAGATTGACTTAGAAATTATCAATTACTAACTCAAATGATAATACTGAATAACTTTGGCCTTAATATTTAGTGATTTGTGTGACAGTATGATCTTAAAATATGCAAATACTAACCTCAATATAAATGATAGACTGGATTCTGTAAATTGTAATGAACAGTTACCTCACGGTAGTCCTGATAATCACAATGTTTGCTGTTGTTTATTATGAGCTTTTATATGTGCTCTTTTATTTAAGTGTTCTCTGACTTTCCTGTATCAGTTAATTTATTATCACCCTATTTTTAATTATATACTGTACTTAAAATTTTTTGTATATGAAAATAATGTGATTTTTAAATTTTAAATTAATTTTATTGGTACACTTGATATGCATAAAGATTACATTTTAGGGAATGTGTATCTGTATGTGATATACCCTGATTCTATTTTTATTTTTTACAATTTTTTTCCTCTTTTTGAGACAGGGGCTTGCTATCACTTCAGGCTGGCCTTGAGCTTACCTTGTAACCCAGGCTGGCCTCAAACTTGCCAAGATTCTCCTGCCTCAGTCTTAGAACTATAGGCATGCGCTACCACACCTGGCTCTTTTCTGTTTTTGTTTTGTTTTTGTACCTTGTCCTTTCCTTCTTTCTCTGCTCCCTCTCCCCTGTCTCTCTTCCCATTTGAATATTGTCTTTCTACTTCCCACTGTCTGCATTCATTTTGGTGATTAGTTGTGCTCTTGGTTTCTCATGCAAGAGAAACAATCTTTTGATTTTTCTTTTCTTTTTCCTCCTCCTCTTCCTCCCCTTCTTCCTTTCTCCTTCCTCTTCCTTCCTCCTCCTTCGTTCTTCTTCATTCTCCCCTCCCCTTCCCCCACCCCCTCCTTTTTTTTTTTTTGTACCAGGAAATTGAACTCGAGACTACACTTGCCAGGCAGGCTCTGTGGCACTTAGCTATATCCCTCACCCTTGAGTTTTCATTGATACCTGTAAATTATGTTATTTTTCACAGCTGTCATCTAATAGCTATTGAATTGATTTTTCATAATCCCTTACTTTTTTTTTTTT